CCCCCAAAGCCTGGGGATCCCCGGAGCCAGCGGCCCCGCGCTTGGCCCGCCCGACGAGGTCGACAAGTTCAAGGCCCGGCTCCTAACCGCCTGGAACAACGTCAAGTACGGTGAGGAGGGGGCAAGGTCAGGCCGGGGGGTGCGGGACAGCCGACCCCGATGACCACGATGGTTCCCCCACCCCGTTCCTGGTCCGTGAGTCACTCCTGGGTCCCCACCCTGCCCCGCCCGGGGTGGACCTGAGGAGGATCAACCGGGAAGGTTTGCAAGCCTCGCCCATTCCCCCTTTGACCTTGGGGCAAACTTCATAGTTCTCTGCCCCTCCACCTCTCCGCTCCTCAAAATGGGTGTCCTAGTCAGGCGAGCTCAGTTCAGGCGTCCCGGCACTCGGGAGGCTGAGGCAGGAAGATCGCTGCAAGTTCCAGGCCAGCCTGGGCTCCATAGTGAGTCAAAGGCCAGTCTAGACTACATAGATCACCTTGAACCATTATAAACAACAACAAGAACACCAAGGCATGGCGGCTCACACCTGTAATCCCAGCACGTGGGAGGTTGATGCAGGAAGAGAGCCATGAGTTTTGAGGCCAGCCTGAACTCCGAGGGAGACTTGTCTCTTAAAAAATGAAGTAAAAATAATCAGAGTGCCTCTCATACCTGCTTTGTTGATGATGGACACTGGGGCAGCTCTTACCAAGGCCCCACGTTTGTCTCAGAAGGATTGAGGTGGGAGCTGGGATTGTGGGAGATGGGACCTTGGGGCCCCCTTGCTAGAGCAAGGGTCCATCTTGTGGGGCACTGCCCCACATCCCCACAGGGTGGATGGTTAAAAGCCGTACCAGCTTTAGCAAGATCTCCAGCATCTACCTCTGTGGGCGCCGCTACCGCTTTGAGGGTGAAGGTGAGTTTCGGGCCAGGCCCAAAGATGTAAGAGCCCCAGTGCCCCTGGTGCCTGCTGACAGCCCAACTCTCCTAGGCGACGTCCAGCGTTTCCAGTGGGACTTCGTGTCCCGCCTGTGGCTGACCTACCGCCGTGACTTCCCACCCCTGGCTGGGGGCTCCCTGACCTCAGACTGTGGCTGGGGATGCATGTTACGCAGCGGTCAGATGATGCTGGCCCAGGGCTTGCTGCTGCACTTCCTGTCCCGAGGTGAGTCCTGTAGGGGGCCAGCATGTGCTAGAACAGTGCCATGTGTTAGAATTGTTTGTAAACTGAGTTAAAAACTACTTTTTCTATTTTTTGGTACCAGGTATCGAACTCAGGTCCTTGTGCTTGTAAGGCAGGAGCTGGAATCACTGAGCTAAATCGCCGACCAACCACTTTTTTTTTTTCAGTTTTTTGAAACAGTCTCACTATGTAGCCAGGCTGGCCTCAAACTCATGGCGATCCTCCTGCCCTATCCTCTGGAGTGCTAGGATTACAGGCTTGCCCACCATGCTTGGCGAAAAGCCACTTTAAAATTATGTTATGAGCCGTGAGGCCGGGCATGGTGGTACACACCTGTCATCCCAGCACTGGGGAGGCTGAGGCAGGAGGATCGCTGTGATTTGGAGACCAGCCTGGGCTACATAGTGAGTTCCAGGTCAGTCTCAACTACATAGTGAGACCCTGTCTCAAAAAACCAAAAAAAAAAGGTCCAGGGATTTAGCTGAGTGGTTCCGCGGCTTGCCTCACAAGGACCAGAGTTGGATCCCTGGTACCAAAAAAAACAAACAAACCCTAAACAAAGCAAATAAATTCATTAATTAATAAAATTACATTTTAAAGTACTTCAGGGGCAGTAAGTTTTCTAACAGAGTTTCAGGGCAGATGTGGTGGCACATGGGTGTGTGATTGCAGTTACTCAGGAGGCTGCCTCACAAGCCCAAGGTCCTGAGTTTAATCCCTAGTTTGAAAAAAAAATTTTTTTAAATGGATTGGGGCTGTCTCAATGGTAGAGCATTTGGCTAAAATGGACAAGGCCTTTGGTTTCATCCCCAGCACCAAAAATATTTTTTAAAATACAACAGTTTCAGGCATGTGAAAATTGTAGTTAAATTTGGGTACCTCACAGCCAGGGGATTTAGCTCAGTGGTTCTGCCACCCAAGTGCAAGGTCTCCAGTTTGATCCCCGGTACCAAAAGAAAAAAGAAAATTGTGCATCTTGGGAGGGTTAGCATGGCCGGTACAATATGAATGAATGGGGCCAAGCAAGGTTTCACACGCCTATGCCCCAGTCCTTGGGAGGCTGAGGCAGGAGGATCACTGAGATTTTGAAACCAAACAGCCACATAGTGATTTCCTGTCTCAAAAACCAAAATAAAAACCCAAAAAGCATGAATGGAACTGACCCCCCCCATACACACATTAGCGCTGACCATACTCTCCATCCCCCAGACTGGGTGTGGGCCGAGGGTCCAGGCCTGGCCTCCCCTGAGCTGCCTGGCCCGGCCTCCCCCAGTCAGGGCGGAGGGTCTGCCCACTGGACGCCTCTGCGCTGGCCCCGAGGCGCCCC